AGATCATTCTGCTTAATACTATGTCAGACCCATCCTTTCTCACATTCTTCACTCTTACACTCCCATCCTTTTTTATACAGCATTTCTGGCAATTGATATCTTTGTTAGGTTTACTGTATCTTTCCTTGACTTCTAATCTGTGGTACACAAGAATAGGGCTATTTGTTTTGTCCAATAACATATTCATCCTATGCTTGGTTCACAGTAGGCACTTTAAAATGTTGATTGAAAAATGTGAATTTAAGAGCCATAGATGTACCTTAGAAGTAATGATTAAATAACTGTAAGATAGTTGCACCTAAAAAGGAAAGTCCAATTTTTTTTTGTGAGGGCTTTGAAAATACTTCACAAAGGAAATGAAAAGACAGTTAACTAAGTGGTAACAGAAAGGTAAAGAAACTCAGAGATAAAAAGAATAAAACTTGGGGCTGGAGAGATAATGCAGGAGGTAAAGCATTTTCCTTGAATGCAGCTGTACTGATCATGACCCTGGTTCAGAGCATCCACACCTCATATGTTCCCCTGAGCACAGTGCCAGGAATAGCCCCTAAGCACTGTCGGATGCTAGCCCCAAACCACCCCCACCAAACATAATGAAATTAGTTACAGAAACATAAGTTTTTTGCACTGTTCTTTTCAAGCATCTGAGATAATCTGCAGTCATTCTTATGCATCTATTATCCAAGCATCTTCTGTTCTGATGCTAAGACTTAAATATGTTGTAGAAAGAAGCAAAAGGCATTTGAATCTTAATAGAAAGAAAATATTTTTTATCTTACGTAGTTTGCGAATATAGCAATTATAATTAAAATATTTTTATTTAGAAAAGGAATGCAGTCACTGGAATAATTGCCCCTACTTATTCTTCCTTCATCTTTTATTTTGGAGCTTTTGGGCCACCTGGCCGTGCTCATGGCTTACTCCTGGCTCTGTGCTCAGGAATCACTGCTGGTGGGCTCAGGAGGTGGGGGGGTGCTATGGGGTGCCAGGGATCAAAATGTTTGCCGTGTGCAAAGCAAACACACTACCTACAGTATCACTGCTCTGGCCCTCTTTAACTTTTATATTATTTTTTATTAGCTATTTTAAGTGTACAACGTTTTGGAATCAAGTTTGTTCAAAATGTTGTGCAACTATTCTTTCTTATTCCAGAACTTTATCATCCTGAACAGAAACTCTACTCTTTCTAGCACAGAGCTGTGATAAAAAAAAGAAAACAAAATCTATCTTGACCTTGCATCCCAAGTTTACTATCATCACCTTCTCTTTCTCTTGTCCCTTTCCTATGTATATATGATCCTGTATAGACCACCTTTCTTCAAAGAGGGATTTTTGCTCATTGTCTGAACTTGCTCAGCTTTCTTTTGCTTTACTTCCCTGGAATCTAGCTTTGCTGTCATAATTATCCTGAATCTGCTTTTACTAAGACTATTTTCTTGTCAGAGCCACTGGGAACTTTTCCGTATTCCCCTCTCCTGATCTCTGATGTATTTGACACTGTTCTCCCTTTTCCATGCTCCTTCTTTAAAAGATCGCTTTAATTTTTAAAACTGAAGTAACAATGGTTTATATTATGTAGGCTTCAGGTTAAATAACATCATGTATGATACTCTGCTCTCTTGAAATCTTCCCTCACAGCACTGTCTATAACTACTTCTCATTTAGCCCCGCCTGTTCTTTAAATGTTGGTCTCTCAACATTTTATCCACAACACCACTCCTGGGTCCTAATCAAGCCCTGTTCAATTGTTCTTATATCAGCCATACTCAGGGATGAGAAATAATACAGTAAGTAAGGACTTATATGTGGCCAACTAGGGTTCAAATCCCGGCACCCTGCATGGTTTGCCAAGCACTGCCAGGCAGTGAGTACCCTGAGTACAGAGACTCAAGTCCTGAGAACGGCTGGGTTTGGCCCTAAAGCAAAAACTGAAACTTAAAAAACAGGTGAGTCAAACTACAGATCCTTATGTTGATTTGCCTCTTATTCCAGATCACTTCAATGTATCTAAAATAAAGCTTCCTTTTCTTTCATGTTTCAACTGCACTTGTAACATGTGATGATTTATTCTTTGAAATTTTTGTGAGGGTTAAATAACTACCCTTTTAAAAGCACAATGCCCTACACAAACCATTAAAAAAGTTTTTCTTGGGCCAGAGAGATAGTACAGGTGGGTAGGATGTTTGCCTTACACGTGACGGATCTGGATTCAAACCCCAGCATCCCATATCATCCCCCCAAGCACTGCCAGGAGTGATTCCTGAGTGCAGAGCTAGGAGTAATCCCTGAGCATCACCTGGTGTGACCCAAAAACAAACAGACAATGATAGGAAAGTTGGTCTTTAACATTATTATAATGCCTTATAGATCATGTATTTTGCATTTGTTTGTTCACCCAGATTCCTCTAAATTCTACATTACTAGGCTGGAGAGATAGCTCAATGGGAGGAGCACTTGCTTTGCATGCAAGAGGCCCAGGTTCAATCCCTGGCTCTTTATGGTCCCCTGAGCATCACTAGGAGCGACCCCTTGGTACTGACCCAGGAGTGGACCCTGAGCACCGCTGGTATGGCCCCTTCCCCCTAAATAAGTTCTACATTACAGAATCAATTACTTTGGCACTCTTAGAAATGGATGCACCATTCAGGCCACAGAATATAATATTGTAGCCTGCCAAGATGGACTAAAATCTTAGAAAAGTATTATTGTTTTAACAAAATTTATTATGCAGTAATTACAAAGGTTAAAGATTCTTCCATTTCAAATAAAAATAACTGTTATAATTACACACATAATATAGTACCAATAAACATCACATGAATACAGTGCATTTTCAAACCGGAGACACAAATACTTTCTCATTCACAGTGTTTGACATAGGGAAACCTATTCACATAATGGTCTGTATAAGGTCATGCTCTTTGTAACAGTCCACACAGAGCTGTGCCAACACAATTCTTTCAGAATGTGAAGTACCGGGCAAACCACTCCTGGCGCTGGGGATCTGGAGAAGCCACCGGGGAAGCTTCACTCTGAGGAGGACTGAATTCATAAAAAGAGAGACATGTAACCCAGCATTAAGCTGTTTTGCAAAATGTAGGGGAAAGCACATAAAACGGGGTACATAAGGAGAGCTATTCCACATGGGACTGGCTACAGCTCTATACTAGGTTCCTTCCTGGCTCTTTGCCAGAAGCAAGTGCAGCAACAGCAACTCAGCCCAAGTCACAATTCCAAAACCCATAACTGCAACAGTGGGAAAAAACAGTGTCACCTTTGAAAGGAGAAACTGAGGGAAATAAGAGAGACCAAGATAACATTCCTCTCTTTTGGTACCTTTCCTTTAATTAAAATTTCAGAATCTGATGCCAGTATTTGTTTTTACAGATGTTTTGTTAAATATAACTAAACATTTTTTAAAAGTATTTTTGCTCTAATAATTTTATATTGAACTTTCACTTTGTAATTTTATTAGAAAATATTCTAGGGGAAAAGGAAATACATTTAAAAGCCAGCATCTTCTCCATCTTCAAAATTAAATGACTTATACTTATCTTAAGTCTATAAAGATTCTTATACTAGTTGATAAAATAAAAGAATCCCTACCGTCTCTGGGGGAAATTACAAGGCACGCAACAATTTGTAATGGAAATTCCAGTAGTCATGATTCTTGACTGATTCATGCACATGCATCTTACTGATACCTGAACATACCCATGCACAAGGGAAAATAAGCAACATAAAATATTTAGCAGGAGACACATTCAAAGGTATATCTGACTATTTTTCATTCTTGCTTTTTTTTGTTCTATTTAAAATAGTCATTATGTCATCAACCACTTAAAAGTACAAAAATAATCACTTATAACACTATTACTGATGATACTGCTATGATTTAGTTAAGAATAAGTAAAGAAGGCCAGAGACAAAGTACTAGGGCAATGCACTGGCCTTACATGCAGCTGAACTGGGCTCAATCCCCAGCAGGGTATATGACTCCCAGAACCATGCTAGGAATGATTTCTGAGCGTAGAGCCAGGAAGCCTGAACACCACAGAGTGTGGCCCAAAACCAAAACTAAACCCCCTCAAAAAAGGATAAAAAGAAATTTTAAAGCAGCATAGAATCAGTAATAAGCATTGAATGACAGTACTTCCTGACTTTTTAATAAGCATAAATGAATTTGACTCATTTTTTTCTTACTATATCAATTAATAACTACCAGGTAACAAAACTGGATTATCAATTGAAATTATTTTTTTCTAAAATATTTTTATTTATGTTTATCATTAGGTTCCCAGAGTTTATGTATTTTTCGTTTTTGCATTGTGTGTATTGTTACACCATATTATATAAAACACTGGCAAACAAGGCAAAATAAAGACAACCAAAACAAAAAATATTTAATTAAAAATATTTTAAAGCTCTGTAATAATTATTACTACAATTTCATTGTTACTGTTAGTCATGGAGTCAATTCTGGGGTGCCTAGGGATAAGTAGGGCTATGCCTGACTGTGTTTGGAAGGCATCATGGAGGGCTGGGGATCAAACCCAGGACCTTGCAAATGCAAGGCATGTGCTCTACCACTTGGACCACACCCTTGGCCCAGTAAAAATGTATTATTAATAAAAAAGATTGGTGACAATAATAAAAGTGAAACAACTGTCAATATTAAAATTATAAGCATATTAGTAGCACCTCTTCAAGCATTTAGAAAACTGACAGAAATCAGAAAAAAAGTCTTTAACAGTCAGAAAAAGGAGCTCTCTAGCAAGGTGATAAATCTCTCTTAAAAATATTTCACTGTGTTTCACTGTGAATATTTCTATGTTCGTTCTATGTTGTTCTTAAGGAAGTGAATTTTGAAATGTAAGAATGTAAATTTCTCAAGTTAAAAAAGAAAAGAAAAAAAACACCACTGGTGAGACAGGGCTCACCTCAAAAATGTCTTGGACTGTTTGGGTGGCACTGGCTGTAGAAGTGCTTTGTTGCTGCTGAACTCAGTATCGTGGACTGGAGAATTAGGAATGGGATCCAGGCGGTTAGGATGTCCATTGCCCACTCCACCAGATTCCAGAGCACTTAGATTGGGAACACTCACAAACCTGCTTGTTGTTGATTTATCATTCTTCTTCTTTTGCTGCATTAAAAATAATATATGTGAGGATCGTCCCTGTCCAAGGACAAATGAGAAAGTATGGATAATAAAATTTATAAATTTGGCATGGGAAATATTTTGAAGATATATACGATATTCATCTGAACCAGTGTTACCCAAATTGTGGTCTGGGGTCCTTGGAGTTGTTTTTTATCTAAATGGAATCCTTAACAAACATGCTCCTTTAGGACAAAAGATGAGGAACAAATGATCCTAAATAAACCATTTAGAAATGGTTCATGGGAAGGGTAGGAAGGGGTGAAAAAAATTCCAAGGGGTAATAAGGAGGGAAAGGGGCAAAGGGAGGAGCCAAAGGATAGGTCTTACAGATACCATGAGGTTAAGTAGATTTAGGCTAAAGCTAGGAAAAGGCATAAAATTAAACAAATTTAAAAGTGAGATCTGTGAACTTTAGTCATCTGTCAAAAGGAGGCAGTCCTGGCCTGGAAAAAAAAAAGGAATAAGAAAAATCTTGGCAAAGTAGTTGAAACAAATCCCACATTTACTTATGAACTAAAGCTGACCTAAAAGAGATATTTTTTAAAAAAATTTACTGCAGCATCTTTTTGAGTATGAATTTAAGTCTCGTTTCCCAATTAACTGGCTTATATTCTTTAAATTTTTAAGTCTGAAACTAGAGATAACTTGAAATTTTTGATTGGTCTTTTACATGAAAAGAAGAATAAAATTATAAATGATCAAAATCTCATCATCTTGCAAATCTTGAACTCATTTACATCTCCAAAATCAGAATATCCACTCTGCTGCGCAGAACAAAATTCAATACTGGTAAAATATTTTGGCTACTCCAAACTTTTATTAATTACATAGCATTTTTTTTACAAAATTATTCTTAAGTATGAAAAAATACAAATACAAGACAGTCCCTTTTTTACACAGTGACTCCAGAGTTTGAAAAAATTATGTTTCTTTTTCTTATAAGGTAATAATTTCACAATCTAGACATTGTCTTCTATGTAATGTTCCAACAGTAACTGAGTCCCTAGCAAGGAGCCTGCTTTAGCAGAACCAAAATTGGTGAGAATAATGTCTTCAGAATAATTTCTGAAAAAACAAAGTTACTATTAGAAAAGTTCATACAGATGAACTACCTGCATTTTCTTGTTCTAGTCACCAGAGGGCATAATTAAACCTACTGATGGTTTCTATTTTAGAAACCACAAATATCATTTACAATGTTCCATAGTAATAGCGCTATAGCAAACCTTTAATTTCAATTAAATAAAATTTAAATATTTTAGTATTGAATTTTTATCTTGATTCATAATTAAACTTTTATTTCACCTTAAATTATGAATTTAAAAACTCTAGGCATATTCATTCATTCAGTCAGTTATCACTTCTGCATGCCATGAAGTGTTATTAGGCTCAAGAGAGAGAGCTGTAGCCCTCCATACTTTCATTCATTTTATCTTATATAATATTTGTGTTTAAAGGTAGGAGCTCTTTTAGTTGTGATAGAAGATATTCTATGTTCGTTCTTTGTGGGGGCCCCACACCAGGTGGTACTAAGGGCTTACTTCTGACTCTGTGCTCTGGGGTCACTTCTGGAAGTGTTGGGGACCATGTATAGTGCAAAGGATGAAACAAATCTACTGCACACAAGATAAGTACAGGCCTTCACTCCTGTACTCTCTATCTGGCCCCAGTTTCTTTCCATGTTCTTCACAAAACAAGTTCTGTGATATTTGAAAGCAAAAATTTCTGGCTAAGTCATCATATGAAAAATTTAAAATATGAATGAAAGTAATATTAACACTTAAATTAACTACTGATTTCTGTTCAAAATTATGTGATTGATTCTTATGAAGCCAATATACATATTCATTTTATTCATCCGAACAATTTGTGGTAACTTCTTAAAAATGTGCTAAAGTTTTGTAACTAAATATTGGCTACCCAAAGTAACCAAACAACTATGATGAGATCCAAAGAGATGAGAAGTACAAGGATGTTTATGACTTAGCTATGTCCATTTTCTTTGTCTACAAGGCTTTTCTATCCTTTAGTAGGAACAAGTGATCAAAATATGTCATGTTCACTTTCAATAGTCAAAGAAGTTCATAAGACAGGGATAAGTAAAATTCTCTCTAAATGTAGGTAGGCAACAAACCATATTTCCGATCAAGGCCCATGAATATGGCATGCCTTTAGTTAGAGAGAGCTGCTGGGACTTGATTTACTTAGGGAGAGCTGCTGGGACTTAGTTTAGTTAGAGCTATCGGGACTTAGTTTAGCTGGGAGAGCAGCTAGGACTTAGTTTAGTTATGGAGAGCTGCTGGGATGTAGTTTATTAGGGAGAGCTGCTGCAGGACTCCTAAGTAGCTTTCAGGACCTCATAGAGGACAGTGAACATTTAGGAATTAAACGTTACCCTCAAAGAGTTTTGCAAGTTAGTTTTTCTCAGAAATATAAGAAATAAAATAGTAGAGCCAAGAGTTTCTATTATTCAATATTACTTTAAGGAGTACAAATTATCAAAAAATAAAAATGTTTCATTCAGAAAATAAATACATAAAAATTTATAGGTTTTAATCCTAGATTATCAAATTTAAGAAAATATTTTTGGGGAGCTTTAGTCTATGCTTCTATAAATATTTTATAAAACATTTTAATCAGATTTGAAACACCATATCCTACTTAGCAGTATTTACAGCACATACCTTAGTCAATGGATTAATAACACCAACCGTAGGACTTGAGTTAAACACTTTGTTGAAGTTAGTTTCTCGATTGACTAATTCCAGCTGATAAAATTTATTATCCTCCTATGCAAAACAATTATAAACAACTTTAAACATTTCTGTTGAGTATTAACTTAATTGTTTAAATGTCATTTCACTCAAAATTTAATATAAAATCTGAGATTTATATACCTTGTTGAAACACTTCTAGCTCTGACTGCAAGTGTCTTAAGGATTTTGGTAGGCAAGTTTTCAATACCTTCCAAATACTATAATCTGAACTTTGTGCTTTAATATTTTTTCCTCTTGAAACGGGAACTCAGTGTTTCACTTGGTCCCATGTGGAAAAACTGCAGTCTAAAGGACTAACTCTGCAGTTTGAGCCATCTTTTTGTTTTTGCTTTCCAGATCCAGTTACACTAGATTCTTAGTGGTGCTGGGGGACTGCTTCCAGTAGTACTTGATGGGGGACTCTGGGCTCCTGATTGTAAAGCTTGTACTCCAGCCCTTTGAGTTATGTGGGATGTATACATGTCTGCATTATTTCTCCACATGAGGTGATACTATGATATCATTATTCCAAGTGTGAGAAATAGATCTGATCTTACGTAATCTCTATGATGCAACATATTATTATAGCAATGAAAACCACAAAGCAGACAATGTAAAAAGCTCAGAGAAATCCTTTCCACAAACTTTACCGACATGTACTAACTGAACAGACAGTAGGACACACATAAGTAAATGGAAGTATGGAGTATAGGGCTGTATTCTAATAGAATTAGATTTTTTATTCTGCCTCTTAATTATCACTGGCCATCACTTGCATCATTAACCGCAGCTTATGTGCATCACAGTTCACAGAATCAGGGTGTTAGTATAGATCACTGTTGGGGGAGAGATTCCTGTCGCTAACCAGCATGCTGATCTGGAGAGCTACTCAACTCTTTGAAGTCTAATTTACTCTTTGAAACCTAAATTCTGCTGTGAAGAAAAAAGTAATGCAATGATATCTGTAACACCAACTGAGAAAGAACTAGAAAATCAATAGCTACTTCTATGGATTATAGATTTTTATATACTTAATATCTTTTTTTAAATATCCTGTGCAGAATACAGTTACTTTGACAAGTCTACCACTATCAAAACAAGCTATCATGTTCACAGTGCTTGGAAAACTTAGTTGTTAATGTGTTGAAATAGCAGACTACCTATCCAATAACCTGCTCTTGGATTTCTTTTATGAATACAAATTTACTACCTGTTGCTTAACTCAGACTACAGCTGGCGTTCCTATATGCTAAAGCAGATATGTGTGCTGTTGCATACTAAATCCAGAGTTTTCAGTTTCAATGAGAAAGTCTGTTTAGCATTCTATTTCTAGTCTTCACACTCTGAAGATTTTGTCAGTAACAATAAATAATAATATTCTGATTACTAATCTGGATATATTTTAAAAGATTTTTAAAAGTTTTAGGAATTGGGCTGGAGCGATAGCACAGTGGGTAGGGCGTTTGCTTTGCACACGGCTGACCTGGGTTCAATTCCCAGCATCCCATATGGTCCCCTGAGCATTGCCAGGAGTAATTCCTGAGCCAGGAGTAACTGTGCTAGAGAGCCAGGAGTAACTCCTGAGCATCGCCAGGTGAGACCCAAAAAGAAAAAAAACATTTTAGGAATTATTTAACCTCTGAATACTTTTTTCCTTAAAGAATAATCACTTTAATGAATCATTATATTTGTTATTCTTTAAGAATAACGGGCTGGAGCGATAGCACAGCGGGTAGGGCATTTGCCTTGCACGCAGTCATCATGGCCAACGCGAGTTTGACTCCTCCGCCCCTCTCGGAGAGCCCGGCAAGCTGCCGAGAGTATCTCGCCCACAGGGCAGATCTTGGCAAGCTACCCATGATGTATTTGATATGCCAAACACAGTAACAAAAAGTCTCAAATGTATAATAATAATAATAATAATAATAATAATATAATATAATATAAAAATATTATCTGGAAAACATAGAGACGTTACTGGACCGCTCGAGCAAATCAATGAACAACGGGAGGACCGTGACTTAAGAATAAAAAAAATTGCATTTTCCTCCTTGATGGACTTCTCAGAGCCCTGAACACCTTGTTGTTGACTGACAGTCTTCAGTCAGTCTCGTCAGTCTCTAGTATTCTTCTACTAACATATGGAACCAATTTTCTGTGAAGTATTTTCTGGGATCAGGAATAGGCAGAACATGGTTTGGGAAATTCACATGAGTATTCTTCAAAGAAATGGAGCAAACACTCCTGAAATTTATATGGAACAATAAGCCCCCACGAATAGCTAAAGCAATTCTTGGGAAAAAGAAAATGGGAGGAATCAACCTCCCGAACTTCAAACTGTACTACAAAGCAGTAATAATTAAAACAGCATGGTACTGGAACAAAGGCAGAACTGCAGACCAATGGAACAGGGTTGAATACACTGACATCTCTCCTCAATCATATGCTCATCTAATCTTTGATAAAGGTGCAAGTAATGTGAAGTGGAGTAAGGAAAGCCTCTTTAATAAATTGTGTTGGCATCACTGGACGGCTACATGCAAAAAAATAGGCTCAGAACTCTGCCTAACACCATGTACAAAAGTAAGATCAAAATGGATTAAAGACCTCAACATCAGACCAGAAACCATAAGGTACATTGAAGATAAAGTTGGCAAAACCCTCCATGACATTGAAGCTAATGGTATCTTCAAAGATGCCACGCCACTGGCCGAGCAAGTGAAAACAGAGATAGATAAATGGGACTATCTTAAACTAAGAAGCTTCTGCACCTCCAAAGAAACAGTGACCAAAATACAAAGACAGTCTACAGAATGGGAAAGGATATTCACCGAATACACATCTGACAAGGGGTTGATATCCAGGATATACAAAATACTGGTTAAACTCCACAAGAAGAAAACATCCAACCCCATCCAAAAATGGGGCAATGAAATGAACAGAAACTTTCTCAAAGAAGAAATCCGAATGGCCAAAAAGCACATGAGAAAATGCTCTACATCATTAATCATCAGGGAGATGCAGATCAAAACCACAATGAGATACCATCTCACACCTCAGAGACTGGCCCAAATTCAAAAGAACAAAAGCAACCGATGCTGGCGTGGATGTGGCGAGAAAGGGACACTCCTTCACTGTTGGTGGGAATGTCCACTGGTTCAGCCCTTCTGGAAAACAGTATGGACGATTCTCAAAAAATTAGAAATTGAGCTCCCATTTGACCCAGCAATACCACTCCTGGGAATATATCCCAGAGAGGCAAAAATGTATAGTCGAAGTGACATCTGCACTTGTTTGTTCATTGCAGCCCTCTTTACAATAGCCAGAAACTGGAAGAAACCTGAATGCCCAAGAACAGATGACTGGTTAAAGAAACTTTGGTACATCTACACAATGGAGTACTATGTAGCTCTTAGAAAAGATGAAGTCATGAAATTTACATACAAGTGGTACAATATGGAAAGTATCATGCTAAGCGAAATGAGTCAGAAAGAGAGGGATAGACATAGAAAGATTGCATTCATCTGGGGGATATAAAGTAACAAAGTATGAGATTAATACCCAAGAATAGCTGAGATCAGCACCAGGAGGATTACTCCATAACTTAGAGGCCAGCCGGGTATCCTAGAGGAAAGGGCTATTCAGATAGAGAAGGGAGCACCAAATAAAGGATGTTTGGAGGATCCTCCCAGGAGGGGAGAAGCATGTCGAAAGTAGACTATGGACTGAACATGTTTGCCACTCAATGCCTCTTTTGCAGACCACAACACCCAAAAGGAGAGAGAGAACACAGGGGATTGCCCTGCCACAGAGACGGGGGGATGGGGGGATGGGGGTGGGAGGGATATTATCCATGGTGGTGGAAAATGGGCACTGGTGGAGGGATGGGTATCTGATCATTGTATAATTGAAACCAAAGCACAAAAAATTGTAAATCTACAACTTTAAAAAAACATAAAATAAAATAAAGGGGGAAAAAAAAATAAAAAAAAAAAAAAGAAGAGGACAAGACAGATTAATACATAATGTTTTGTGCACACATGTTTTGACTATACTTTCTTATCTGATTGTTGCATGTACAATGTGTGCATACACATCAATGGTATACTAACTGTACACTGGTAATGACATTATTATTAAACATTCAATTAATATTAAAGACTTTCATAAACATTTTAATAAACTATCACAAAGTACATACTTTTGTTTTATTTATCATTTATTAAAATATTCCCTGTTCTTCCAATTAATCATGTATTATTAATTATGGATAGTTACGAATAATTAATTATAACAGCATATTAATATCTTACAATTAGTTTCTTTATGACCTGATCTCTTTCTGTAAGCATAACTTTTAATTCTGTAATCATCTGTACATCTTCTGGTTTTGATTCTCTCATTAGATATTTTTCTTCCATTTCTTCCAATCTGAAAACAAGAAAACCTTTAGTTCACTGATACAACTTAAACATTTTGATAATACCCACATTTTTCAAAATTAGTCCAGTTGAACTTACAAAAAAAAAGTTTAAGCCAAGTTTTCTCCCCTGAAGCTTTCAAGCCCACTGTCATAATTGTGTCAAGAGTCACAGTTACTAAAAGTTATTAAAAGTTCTCTATCGCAGATGATATTATTTAAAGGCTTTGCAGGATATCTTTTGGAAAATTTATTTTTAAGTCATTAAAGAGTAAACGAGCGTGAAGTATGCATAAGATCTGTTCAAAAAAATGTATACTAAATGATAATCTGGCAAACATAGACTTGATGCTGGAAATGAAGATCAACGATTATTGAGTTTATTACAAATATATTTTATGGCAACACATCTTGGTAACACATAAAAGGGACAAAAGAAGATACAGAGGTAAGGAGCACAAGGACACACACATGTAACATTATTATTTCCTGATTTAGAAAAAATGCATTCGTTATCAGTTATTACATACAATTCTAAAAAAAGTGTCCTCATTTAAGGGAAGTGTAATCTGGGTCTGTTCTGCTCTGAAGGACAAGGGATGACACTACGATGACTACCGCTGTGCATGCTAGAATAAAAGCTACTTTTTATGAAGTCTAAAATGACAGGACAGGGTCAAATGAAGAGGCAACTGGTAACCAGCCTAATATGGTGAAGAAATTAAAGAAAGCACTTACAATTTTTAAAAAATCTTAAACAATTAGAACAATTTTAAAGCATATTACTCAAAATCCAAAGTATATAATTTAACTTAATAAAGTTATGGTTAATTATTCATAGAAAAATTTATTCAGGGGGTGGGCGTGATAGTACAGCAGGTAGGGGGTATTTGCCTGGTATGTGGCTGGCCTGGGTTTAATCCCCAGTACTAGTAGCACAAATGGTCCCCCCAAGCATTGCCAGGACTGATCCCTGAGTGCAGGACAAGAATAAGCCCTAAACGCTGTTGGATATGTTCTAAAACCACAATGATTTCTAAAAAAGAAAAAAAAATTATTCACCCAACAATTAAATAATTTGCAGACCAGTCTTTCTTAAGTAGGGTCCATATGACCTCCTGTGAGCTCAGGATATTCCAACAGAATGAAAATTTTCAACCAACAGATGAAAACTGCATAAATGTGAGCCATAACACAAGGCCGGGGGGCCAACTAGTAGGAAGAGGAGGGCGCACAGGAAGGAAACAAGGTCAGAGGGAAGCAACGGTCAACAAAAGGTCCCAAGAAACATTATTCTGAATAAATGATCTTATAGGAATCAGTGATTCATTTCTGCCCCCCCCCCCCCCCCAGTTCTATAGGCGTACTAGGCTCTTTATGTATTTTAGTTATCTTATTAAATGCCCCCACCAACCAGACCCAAGATCTGGAGATAACATAACTGCTGCCCCCATGCCCTGCCCAGAGCTAATGTTTTAATCTTTAGTGGTGAGTGGGAGGTATGAGGCTGATAAGAGTGAAGGGTTAGGAAGTGATTTTCTCAGGATCAGTGGGAGCTATTTACTTTTGCTATTGTGATAATGCAGTGAAAAATTAATGTGATTTACTAAGCCCACATAAAGTGACCTTGTATTTTATCATGCTATAGCACTTTAAGGGCGAAGGTTTACAAATTTAATAAGCAAAGTTTCAAGATATTTGAGAAGTAATATTTTAAATAAACCCAAATACTTTTTGCCTTAATATGGAACCAGCCACAAGATGTCACTGAACCACTTCTATCATGAATGCAAGTTAAAGAAAGTCTCTGTGTACTGCTTAGGAACAAGAATATTTCGTAGTTAATGGCAGTTAAGTTTAAAGCCTTCAAGCTAATGAAGCTAATCTAATGAAGTTAATATATATTTTTTTAACACAAAATGAATCCAAAGTGAGCCTAAAACAATGACTCTAGTCGCTGAACCACTGTTTGCATAATAAGGCTATTCTAAACCTAAATTCGTTTGTAGTTTACATTTAAACATGCTTTATCTTACAAAATTACTATTTGTTAATACTCTCACAAAATATTTTATTTTATTAAAAAAATGTTAAGAGAAAGGATACCTAAATATTAAAGGGAAAGAACTGATTAAGCTGAAGAAACATAATCTATATAAATACAAATGGGAAAGCATTAAAGGAGAGAACAAGTAAATACGATATAAATTTAAATTTACAAAGCACTTCTAGAATACTAGTTTTCTCAGATTCAAACAAGAAGTTATCTTGTCCCCAGTCCAATATCCATTTTAAGCCAATACAACTGACATTTCTCTCTTCAGTTCTATGCAATGCATGACTGACACTGATACAGGAGATGATTTTTAATTAGTATTTCTTTAAAGTATTCTATCACTAGGAAGGGAAACTTTTTTTTTTTTTTGCTTTTTGGGTCACTCCTGGCTCTGCTCCCAGGAGTTACTCCTGGCGGTGCTCAGGGGACCAGATGGGATGCTAGGAATCAAAGCCAGGTTGACCGCGTGCAAGGCAAACGCCCTTCCCACTGTGCTATTTCTCCAGCCCCGAGGAAAGGAAAGTCAATAAAATCTAAACTTTTACTTATTTTATATGATCTTTATAACACATATCTATTACCTTATTTCACAATATTCAGGTAAATCTTGAGTTGCAATGCTAGTTACAATCCAAAGTTATTTTCACAAAATTTACATCTACAGAATTATAACTTAGCTTCAACTTAAAATTACATAAGGTTTTCCAGTTAGCTGTAGTTTTACTGTATAAATAAATCACAATTTTTTGTTAAAAATTTTAAATTAAGTCAATTAAATATGCTAAGGATGTTAGTATCATAGGTAATCAGAAATTACTAAAATTTCAAAGTTATAGGATTAAAGCATGAGAAATGAGGGAATCTTGAAGTAACCACACAAGTATATAGAGCATTTTACTCTTGTCTGAAGTAATACTAAGAGAGAACAAAGAGAACTAGAATCTGGAAATTACTAATTAATCACTCCTGGGCTCTTCCCAGGCATCAATCCCCGATTTTTCTGGGCTCTGAGAGTGTATATAGGTCAGTGTTTATATGGCTCATGGACAATACCAGCTAAAATATAAATGTCTAAGAAGTGGTATGAACTACATTTAAAAAATTTCTAAGTTGATAACCCTCCATGATGATTTAAATTTTTTTTAATTAAAGCACCATAATTTAGTTATTCAAAGTTGAGTTTCAGACATACAATATTGTAGCACTGATCCCACCACCAGTGTCAACTTCCCTCCAACAATGTTTCCAGGTTCCTTTTCATATCCCCACCCCCTTCATTCATACTTATTTTTAAAATAGGTTCTTGACCAAAAAATTTGTAAATTGAGACTTTAGACCAAACAACAATTTTATTAGGCACACGCACCTTCTAATTTTTAATCATTTAAAATCATTTAAAGAACTCTCTTATACATAATCCTCTATAGACTTAAAAGGAAATAGAGCAACTGAAGGATCTTAATCTCAAAAACTTCTTTTCCCATAAACTGACTGTGGCAAAAGGACTACTGCATCCTTACTTTGAGAAGTTTATGAGGGCCGGCGAGAGAGCTCAATGTGCTGAGCACCTGTGTTGCTTCATTCAGTTCCCAGCACAACAGAGTCCACAATCTTCAGGAGCCCTTGAGCACTGTTCTTGTGGCTCTCAAATCAGAATTTTTTTAAAAAAGTGAAAATAATCTAACAATTTAAAAATCAAATGGAACAACAAAAAATTACTCATGTAACAGAGATAAAAGTACCCAACTTTAAAAGAGTAATTCAGGGTAGAATTCATAATTCATGCTCAGTCACCTGAGATACACTGCAGGGGTTAAGGTGCTTGCCAAAATACTTCTTCAAATGTCTCTTCATATGGTCCACCTGAGCACCACTTGGGATCACCCCTGAGCTCAGAGGCAGAACCAGGAACAGGCCATGAGTACCGCTGGGTAAAGCCTTTCCACTGGCACCCAAAATAAATACTCAGTCATCTAGAGCTGCATTCCAAAATGGTAACCCCGAGTTCATACGTGTCTACTGGCATTAAAATGAAATTTTAAAAATTCTATTCCCTGGTTTCACCAGTAACAATACTAATAGACATTTTGGCTAGTAGCTACTGTACTGGACAGAACAGATAAAGGACACTTCATTATCACAGAACAATTTTTTAAGCAGTCCTAGTTTAAAATATATTTTATGTGTTTGTTTTTGACTAAAAGAGTAGATACCTAAACCTAGAGACTGGATAGTGGCACCAGTTTTCTGGAGAAAAAAAAAAGTATAGATCCTTAACATGGACCTAGTTGAAGTATAACATAGTATAAAAGCAAATACAATATTTGATTAAGGAATACTTCAATTAAAATAGCAAGAAAAACTACTATTATTTACTATCTATTGAAAATATGTAACATGTAAAACCACATAAAAACAGAGGAAGTAAAAACAATGACACAGTCTTCAGTCTTTGTAAGTTAACATTCCTAAGGAGACAGGACACAGGAACATACAGAGATTATTCTATTTGTGCACCTAAATTTTTTAGTGTATGAAATAAGAGTGCTAGGATTTCAATTTCTGCCTCATGAATAATACTGAGTCTGGGAGACAGGAAAATCAAAGGCACTGGGTTTTTTTGTAATTCATTTTTTTTAAGTGTCTGAGGTTAGGACATTACATGGTAGATGACTGAGCTTTTATTTTTTTGGTGTCTAAGATCAAACCCTGGCCCTCACACATGTGAGGGATGCGTCCCATAACTGAGCCATTTTTCCTGACCCTCTGTCAAAGTCTTATTGTCTCACAAAAGGATTTAAATAATTACCTCCAACTTTTGCAAATCCCAAGTTTGCTGTGACTGGGGAAATGACTGTCTGAGATTCCTTATCGTTTCAAGGATAATTTCCTAAAAGGTAAATACTGGAGGTAATGCTAAAAAAAATATATTCATCCTGGATCATTCATTAAATGATCATTCATTAAATATGTACTACCATGAAAATCCTCTACACGTGTATCCATGACAAAGAGGGCCTCACCTCAGAGGCCACTGAAGGAACTGACAAGGCAGGCTATGTGTGTGCATATGTAGTTATTTTGTTTGGGGTTAAGTGAGTGATGATGAATAAGTGTGTTCCTGCACATACATGTAACAAGATTGACTGTGAGACTTGTCAAAAGAGACAAAAATGTGAAGATACGATTTCTAGACAGCAGAAAGAGAATTTAGGTAGTAAAGATGTGGGAAGTTAATCTAGACTCAGAGGACTACACAGGAGACTGAGGAGGAAACTGAGGACTCAGCCTGGCAGACACAAAGGCAATACAGGAGAACAAATAAAGCCAGCTGCTGGCAAAAGTAGAAGTCGCACAAGAGCTCAGCATTGCACTTTAAAATGATGGATCATGATATGAATCACTATTTTTATCTTATTGATAAAAAAAACTGAATGAAGCATTTTATTTGGAGGGAAAAATCTGAAGGTCATGAAAAGTAATTTGCAGCAGCTTAGTGTAGTAATTCTAAGCTTGAGGCCAGAGAGATAGAACTCAATGAGTTTGGCCTCAGCAGTTTCTGAATGTGTAGGAAAGACAGGAGCTATTAAATACTTCAAATCATGAAGAAATATTAAAAATTTGGGGCATAGCAATATTGGAGCTACTTTGAGTGAAGAATAATTCTTTTTTTTTTTTTTAAGTTATTGCAGGAGGCAGCCTGATTAGACTGGGAAGAATCAAGCACTCAGAAAACTTTAAAAATAGGATTTATTTTACACCAGCAGGCTCAGGGAAGAAATCTCCAAAAGTCTTAGTCCCGAGTAAAGACAAAACGGGGAATTTATACTTTACAAGTCAGTGCTTTGGGGAGATGTATAAAGCAGATGCAGGAGATAAATGACTTAAGGGGAGGGACGGGAGATAAGGAGCTCCTGAGAAACAAAAGGGAGGGACTCTGTTAGACAGTCATGGAAACATGGATAGAGTGTTCCAGAGTTCAACAGTTAAGAGGTTCTTTGGGGGATGCCTCTACAGATCATTTGAGCCCCACAATGTTATGCCTTTACTGATTTTTAAATTCACAATATAATTAAAAGCTTGTAGGAATTCTAAAAATATTTAAGCAGAATACATGAAATAAAAAGGCTGCTATTCTCTGTTCCCAAAAACCTCCTCATCCATTCCCAAGAGAAAAATACTATATCACTAAAAATTTATATTTGTATTATCTTTTGATCCTTTGTCTAATAGCATATGTATCAGATCCTAGCATGGATTATTACTTAGTAGTATATATATTAGATCCTAACATTCCTCCTTGTCATGATATAGTCTTTTTCACTAACATTCAGAAATGAATATTTTTTGACTTTTCACCATGGTGTGATACTTTATGATCTTGGAGGACAGTCTTTAGAGAAATATTGTCCTGGTAGAATTGCAGTAGTAGCAGCAGAAAAGATAATCACTCTACTGCTTATCCTAATTAAATATATCATACTGCAGTTGCCACTGGTAATACAGTATTTACACTTTTTGAAAGTATGATTTAATTAGATTAAAAAAAGAGTAGCTAATCTGAGGTGAGACACAGTGTTCCTAAATTTATTATCTACATACGAATGGTCTTTAATATAGTATGACTTACGACACTTGTAAGGCTGCATTTATTTCCTTGAGTAGCTCGTTAGTCTTATTAAAATCTGCCCGCATGAGATTTTTCTGTCTGAGGTGGTCTGCTGTCAATTCATCCAGTTCTTTTTCAAGTCTCTTGTTTAAATCTTGTTCATGCAACCTGTTTGATTTATTTTTAGTTAAGACATTGTTATTCTAAAGTCAAGCTTTCCAAACTTTCTGTATTCTACCAGATTAGGTATAATATATAGAAAAGTAATGGAAACGACCTAAAATAAGTTACTTACTTTGCTCTTATCTTCCAGCTTGTTCGGGTTGTCTCCTTTAATGCTTTTTTAAATAACATTTTTAAAAAGACTTTAGTTAATTATAAAATTTCCAAAGTTAGTTAATACATATACATCATTCAGAAAATAAAAATTTGTTATAAATCATTACAAAGTAAAAATAGTCTTAATATCTTCCTAGAGGGGTAGTCTAGTTATAAAAATATTTTATTTTGCTGAATATCATTGCAATCATCTTTCATATAGCACTGCATATTCCTTCTCTTGTAATTAGTGACATACCTTATCTGCTGGTTAGAATCACTTCGTATTCTGAGAATTTCTTTCCCCTTAAATTCCAACTCTTTGGTTAGGGCACTTATATTTTCATGAAGATGCTGTACCTCCTTATCCAAGTCAGAGATGTGATGCTCTCTGTGTCTTAATTCTTCCTGTAGATCTGTTATTCTAGACATGTGCTCCTGACTCTGAAAAATACAAGTAATTCTTTAAAGTTTTCTACATATTTACTTTCTGTGTTTGTCAGAAGGAAAGAAAATGACATTATAGAGTGTCAAATGTAACAACTCTGACAGTGCTTTAGAAACAAACTGATAAAATGAAAAAAGGTCAAGGCCTTTTCTATTTTCATATGTCAGAAGTAATCATATGAATATAGCATCAATAATTCAGTCTAGATTATTAGAGGGAGAGCTAAAAGACCATAAATACCCATACCATCCTCCTTGCAATGGTAGGGTCTCATCTGTCTCTATACCCAATTATCCAAGATATCAAATATCTCGGGCTAGAGCGATAGCACAGCGGGTAGGGCATTTGCCTTGCATGCAGCCAACATGGCCGACCCAAGTTCTATTCCTCCGCCTCTCTCGGAGAATCTGGCAAGCTACCGAGAGTATCTCGCCAGCACGGCAAAGCCTGGTAAGCTCCCTGTGACGTATTTGATATGCCAAACACAGTAACAAGTCTCACAATGTTACTGGGTCCGCTCGAGCAAATTGATGAACAACGGGAGGAGAGTGACAGTGTGATCAAATATCCTGGATAATCTGTATCCGAGAGATAATTTGTCCTATCATGACTTGTGATCAATGGCACAGCAAAGTCAGAACACAGGGCACTCAAAAAGCTATATGGTCTGGCAGTCAAAACTAACATCACTGATCTTGAATCAAAAAAAGGGCATGAATCTGAGCTGGAGCAGTAGTACAGCAGGTAGGCAGGCACTTGACTTGCATGTGGCCAGCCCAAATATGACCTCTGCACCTGATATGGTCCCCTGAGCACTATGAGGAGTGATCTCTGAGCACAAAGGCAAGAAGAGTAATTCTTAAGCACCATCAGGTGTGGCCAATTACCCCACCAACAACAAAAATGACAAAAACTTCTCAATATGACTGTATGGAGGCTCATTTAAAACTTGCTAACAATAAAGAGAAAACCTTGGCTGATCTTTAACATAGCTGAAAACCTACAAACTGAGTGTTATTAGTCTAAAAAACAAGTAAATAATAGTCTTCATTATACTATGTGTAAACGCCAGATATACAGATATACAAACTTAAAAACTATAGACTGAAATCTAATCATGAACAGCTTTGTAAAGGTCTATCTCACAGTGATTCAATAAAAAATTTTTTACATATTTCATGGCTTACTTTCTGAAGATGTATCTAAAATTCAAAATTTTCATTGAAAGATCATGATATATAATTTTATGACCAACATACTAACATTGCATTGTCTATTTCCCTTTATTTTTTTACTCTTTTTTTTTTTTAATAATTTATTTATTTATTGAATCACTGTGGGAAAAGTTACAGAGCTTTTGGGTTTAGGTCTCAGTCATGTAGATACCAAACACATTTCCCTTTACCAATACTCATTTTTAACCCCGAACCCCAATAGACCCCCACCTCCCACCCCTCCCAATTCTTGTGAGGCAGATGAGTTCTAGTTAATACTCTATCTACTTTGACTAGATAATTTCGATAGAAGATGCACAATTATTGTTTAGAGTTTACGACCCACCCCCCACAATCAGACATGCTGAAACAGCGTTGTGAAATGATTTGCTTTCTACAACTTGGTTTAAGAATAAAATGATGTCGCGCGGCCGCGATTTTGAATCGCGGTTTTGAATTTCTGCTATTTTACTTATTGACCCTGGAAGAATTTCTATTAAAAGTTAGCTAGTTAAGAGATTGGTTTCTGTGCCCTGGAGTCGTGGCCGTGCCGGAGAGCCGCTCGTGGGGGGCAGCTGGCGACCTCGGTGGGGCGTGGGGGACGGCCCACAAAGCCCCCCTTCCCATGAGGTCCCTGCCGCTCCCGCCAGCCCCGGCTCAAACCTGCTTTCCACAAGGCTCCCGTGCGGCCGCCATCTTTCTTTCCAGAGAGGAGCGGGCGGGCCGGTCAACGCCCTTTCCCCTCCGGGCTGGCTTGGTGGCGCGGTTCAACACAAGTCCATTTGCTTTTCTGCTCCAAGCGGCTGGTTCTCTGTGCTAAGTCCTTGTGCCTCCGGGGCCGTGGCCGTGCCGGAGAGCCGCTTGTGGGGGGCAGCTGGCGACCTCGGTGGGGCGTGGGGGACGGCCCACAAAGCCCCCCTTCCCATGAGGTCCCTGCCGCTCCCGCCAGCCCCGGCTCAAACCTGCTTTCCACAAGGCTCCCGTGCGGCCGCCATCTTTCTTTCCAGAGAGCTACTCTTTATTGTTTTTAATGTATTGAATCACTGTGAGATAGATCCTTACAAAACTGGTTATAGTTAGGTTTTAATCATACAGTGTTCCAACACCCATCCCTCTACCAGTGTACCTTTCTCAGCACCAAGCTTTTTTTTTTTCAATTTTTATCAGTGAAACCCCATGAGGCACAGTTGTAGACTTACAAATTTTTGTGCTTGGGTTTCGATTATACAATGATCAAATACCCATCCCTCCACCAGTGCCATTTTCCATCACCATGGATCCCAGTATCCCTCCCACCCCCATTCCCCCATCTCACCCTGCCTCTGTGGCAGGGCATTCCCTTTTGTTCTCTCTCTCCTTTGGGGTGTTGTGGTCTGCAAAAGAAGCACTGAGTGGCAATCATGTTCAGTCTATAGTCTACTTTCAACATTCATCTCCCATCCTGGGAGGATCCTCCAAACACCCTTTATTTGGTGCTCCCTTCTCTATCTGAGCTACCTTTTCCCCTAGCATGCCCGGCTGGCCTCTAAGCTATGGAGTAATCCTCCTGAGTACCAAGCTTTTTAATGTAGATAGTAAATAATTAATGAACATTCTAGTTATTACAAAAAATTTTTCAGAAAATCAGCATTTAAATTTATTTAGACTTAACAATTCATCACAGGACAAAACATTGTTACTAACCTGTCTTCTGCTGATGTCTATGCTTCTCTCTAATTCCATTTTAGCAGCTGTTAATTCTTGGTGATGACTATGACGTAACAAATCAATTGCAGCTGCATGTTGATGGTTTAGTTCTGAACGTAAGGAAGCTAAAATACAAGGAAGGAGGTTTAGAATATTTTTAGAATACTGACAATATGGGTCAAAAATTCACGAATATTATTCATGAGACAGGTCAATTATTATATAAACTATTCTTTATACCTTTTAAAGCTAAGACTATCAGAGATCATCATGATTTTAGAGACCATCTAGCTATGAATAGATTAGAAAATTTTTACCTGCTCAAATGGACTACAGTATTAGTATAGATATATATTTTTGTGTGTATCTTCAGTTTGCAAGTAAGGGGCTAATGGAGATGAATGCTTTAAACTCTTCTTAATATCAGACCACAGAAACTTTAGAGATGAATGATACTATGACTTGTATTTAGGAGGCAATTTTCCACTGATATAAAACTCTTCTACATAATCATTAAAAGACATTAAACAATGGCTGGTGAATGCTTTAAGAGAAATTTGGAAGTCATTTAAATTTGGCATTGATTCTTTCATATAAACCACATATATAGAATACCAGTAGTATACTAATAGCAATTAATATATGACTTTGTCCTTATAACTATACAAGGCTAGAAAGGAAGGCATCATGCCAAGAAATTAAGTGGGGCATTATAGATAATTATTTGGTCTGATAAAAGCACCATGGTGAAAATACCTACTTTTCCCAAAGAAAGGGAAACTGGAAAAGCAATAAAAAAAAACTTGTCACAGTAATTTCATCTAAAATATACAGACCTGACGGACAGTATAGCAGGTAGCATGCTTGCTTGCATGAGGCCCACCTAGGTTTGTTCCCCAGCATCCCATATAGTCCCCAGAGCACTGCCAGGTGTTGTCCAAAACTCAAAAATTAATTAGTTGATTAAAAATAAAATCATAGGAAAAACTGGGGAGAGAGCAGAGCTCAGTCAAAGCAAGTTTTAGTATGAAAGATGCATTTTACTTGATACTTAGGCTCCTGGTCCTCAACCTGTGATATGTGTGGCAGTATTCCTGAGGAGAATACACACGTGCCTTTTCTAAAATAAGTATTTTATTTGAAAAGATTTTTGAAAGCTAATTTTTCTTTTCTCTGCTGTAGAGGCCATTCCTGGCAGTTCTCATGGTCATACCCAGTGGTATTTTGAGGTCCATGTGATCTGGGTACTGAAACCAGAGCCCTGTACATGTTAAGCATATGCTACTTGAGCTACATTCCCAGTCCGTCATTAGGGGGATTGGGGGAGTGGAGGCACCTGATGGTGCTTAGGGCTTACTCCTGTGATCGGAAATCACTCCTTAAGAGTTGGGGGAACCATATGTGGTGCTGGGTTCAAACCTGGGTCAGATGCATGCAAAGCAAGGGCTATATCCACTGGCTGCTGAGTTATCCCAGAAAGGCCTGGCAACCACGGGGATCAATCTCTGGACCATAAGCGGCATTGGGGCAGATTGAGTCACTTCCCTGCTAAAGGCCTAGCATTCCACCCATATACACCCTGCTCCCACCGCTGCCAGAGGATCCAGGACTGATCTCAGACATGCCAGACAGACATCAGCAGTCAGATGTCCCAACTCCAAAGCCCCGGAAGGAACAGCGTATATGTGGCTGTGCAACACTTCCAAACTTCCCAGAGTTGACAGTCTGAGAGAAACAAGAACACTGACTGGAAAACTGAGTAGAAGCCCACTAAGCTCAGTGAGTGAAAACAATAGCAGAGTCTCACCCTCACACCTAACAGCTTAGTGAATTCTCAGGTGATAATTTTAGCAACACCATTACAAAATATATGCTGTAACAAGCAAGATAAAGCAAAATCAATTAGTTCAACTTGGGGGTTGGGACACTGGTGGAGGTAAGGGCATGCTGGTGTGGGACTGGTGTTGGAATACTGAATACCTGAGGCACTGTACTATAAACAATTTGGTATTTAAATGAAGTTAAAATTTTTTAAATAAAATTGTATTTAAGTAGGAAAAAAAGAGAAGAGACCAATGTGAGGAACACGTAAGAGGAGGCACTGATAGGATGTGAAGAGAAAGAAAAAAATGTAGGATGCCACTCCCACATTCCTGGCTTTGGCAACAGGATAAACCATAGAGAACATTTATTAAAGTAGGTGGTACAGGAATAGAAACACATTCTAAACTACAGGGGAGATGATGCAGTCCTATTTTAAAACACGGAGAGTAAGTTAGACTATCACACTTTCTGAGAAAACAGGAAGGAACATCTATGTAATTTAAAAGGAAAGAGACTGGTCTGGATACACACATTTGGAGTCACTTGACATCAGAAGATAGTTGAAGCCATGCATGTGCCTGTAAATAATCCAGAAAGTCTAAAGTCTGGCGACGGTGGGGGTGGGTGGGTGGGTGGGAGAAGAGACAGAAAACCGGGGATTAAGTCCTGAGACATGGCAGTACTCAATGGATGTATAGGGAAAGAGAACTGGGAAGATGATCAGAAAGCAGAGGTCGGGGCAGGGATGGCTCCTTAGCTAAGGTGCAAGTTTTGCATGCAGGAGACCTGAGTTTAATTCCTGGGATTCCAAAGTTTCCTTCCCCTGAACCACAGCAACACTGCGAGTAATCTCTGAGCAAGGAGCCAGGGACACCTCCTGAACAAACCAGGTGTGATCCTAAACCCAAAGAAGAAAAAGTAAATTAGGGAAATTTGGGAGCCAGAGAAAGGTCCACATGATCCCCCAAACACTGAGCTAGCAGTAGCACCTGAGTACCAACAGGTTGGCCCCCAAACCAAAAAGTTAATTATTTAACAAAAAGAAAAGAGGTTAAAAATAGTAGAGTGAATGCAGCTTATTATCATGGCAACAAAGAGAGAAAATAATTCAAGAAGGTCAAAAGGGTTCAGGTAGGAACAAGTAAGATGGCTGCAGTAAGAGTGCCTTGGATTTGAAATTTCAAATTTTAATGGTGACATCAAAAGTAATTTCAATAAAATAATAGGCAGGAAATGTCGATTGAAGGATTCCAACAAAGATACTTAAAGAGAACCTTAAACTGGAATTTAACTATACTTAAAATAGACAAAAGAACTTTCAGAACCTAACAGTAAAGAAATATAATTAGAAGACAGCCAGAGAAATAACACAAAAGGCTAAGTATATGCTACCTATGCAAAAAGGCCAGCTCAATTCCTTACACCACATGGAAAAGAAGATAAAAAGAAGGCAAATGAACTTATGAACACCTGTTGAACATCATTAGCTACCAGGAAAATACTACGTAGAATTCATATTCATTGTCACTGTTCTCCCGTTGTTCATCGATTTGCTCGAGCGGGCCCAGTAACGTCTCCATTGTGACAATTGTTACTGTGTTTGGCATATCGAATATGCCACAGGTAGCTTGCCAGGCTTTGCCGTGTGGCCGAGATACTCTCGGTAGCTTGCTGGGCTCTCTGAGAGGGGCGGAAGAATTGAACTCAGGTTGGCCGAGAATTCATATTAGAGAGACTAAAATACAATATAGTGAACATCAAATGTTCTACCATACTTGCCTCTTCATCTGGTAACTTCTAATAAAATATGCAAAATACCTATTCATTTTGATGCTTCAAAAACTGAAAACAAAACTCTGATTCAATTTGAATTTTAGAAAAGAGAAATGTATGAAGAAATGACAACATTATAATTCTTCCAAAATACCAAGCATAGCTTTTCCTTCATCTTCTAATTCAAACCGAAGAGTCTGAAGCTCCTGCTCCATTTCTACCCGGAAGCCCTCCATGGATTCTCTGTGTGCATCTTTTAATGACTGAAGCTCTGCAGAATGTTTCTGTTGTAAATGATTTTCAAGTGCCTAGAACAAAAGGAGAAACATACTCAAGTTATTATGCTAACAAACTGAGGAAAATTCAAACAAAATATGAAATAATGATCAAAGCTTAACTGTTATTTAAATGTTTATTTTTCATCCAAATTTCTTGAAAATGAATTTAAAACTGGTTTATATCACAATCCAAAAATAAATTAGTTGGTCACTTTAATAGAGAATTTAATAGAGAATCATCATGAAACCAGTTTGGCTAAATACGTTGTTTGAGTTGTATAAAATTTTTAAGTAACATAGTTTTCACAGATGGCCTCTGGGGTGGCATGCCCAGAAAACAGACCCAAAGAACTGCCAAAACACCCTCCCCTTGGTCAAGGTGCACCCCCACTCCCTGTATCCAGGCCAGAGGGGTTCCCCAGCAAGCATTAGGACTATTATCAGAGGTGGGACTTTAATTCTGCTCGGGCACAAACACGGCCAACTTCCTCACAGGTACAACACAGTGAGGAGCATGGCCTCCGGGGCGGGGGCCAGTGCAGTTATTTTCCCCCTTCCCAGTGCTCTGGACTCGCATCTCAATCTCTATTATCTATTCTGAGGAGAACATCTTGGCTATCCCAATCACATTAGGCCAATATAGTCCAGTAGCCTATTCCAATCTTACCAAAATAACGGTGAACAAAAGAAACCGAACAAACCTAATATAAAAAGAACACACTCTCTGAAATTTCTGTAGAGGCCTCACATAAGTCACAGAGGAACACCAAACAGGAAGGTAGTATTCTAGAAGAGGAAAAAGGTGATCACCATCAACCGAACTTATCCAGAATCCTTTCTCACAGTGAGAGAGGTACACTGATAGTGAACTGGAGGATCCGACCTCCAGACTACCACACCAACATGAAGAAACAGCACAAATCCACACCATGAGGAGTGGATGAATAAGAGTCCAGAAGCATCAACAAGGATGATCCAGAAATATGTCTCTAATAAAGAATTCAGAGATGAAATGCCGAGGATGATCAATGAACTCAAAGAAATGGTGGAACATACATCCAGTAAATTAAGAGAGTATATGAAAGAAACAGTGGAATGGACAGCCAATAAAATACAGGAAGAAATGAGAGCAGAAATAAGAAAGCTACAAACAGAAGTGTCACTAATAAAGGATTTGGTCAATGAAATTTAAAACTCAGTGGGTGCCCTCAAGAGTAGAATGACTACAGCCAAAGACAGAATCAGTGAACTTGAAGATGAGCTACAGAAAGCAATACAGGCAACAACATACAATGGGAAAAGACCTCAAAATAGCTCTAGGGCGAGGCCTAGGAGATGAATTCAAGAGGAACAATGTAAGAATCATAGGAGTACCAGAAGGAGGAAAGGAAACCCCAGTAAAAAAGCAACAGTCAAAGATACCCTTGCTGAGAAGTTCCCAAAGCTGGAGAATGCAGTCATCCAGATCCAAGGAGCCTGAAGGGTACCAGCTTAAAGACACCCTAATATAAAGACTCCAAAACATATTATTATCAGAATATCGGATACCATGAATAGAGACACAATAATCAAGCAGCAAGGTCAAAGAAGGAAATCACGCAAGCACCCCTTGGATTTACAGCAGATTTATCAGAGGAAACCTTCCAAGCCCGAAGACAATGGTGGGATATAGTGAAAAAAACTCAATGAAATGAACACCTCACCAAGAATATCTGGCTAACCTCTCATTCAAACTCGAAGGAACGATACACTATTTCATGGATAAACAGCAGCTCAGACCCAAACTTTTCACAGACCCAAAACCAAACTTAAAAGAAGGAGTGAAGGGGCTACTGTAAGACAAGAAAAACCCCTACAAGTACAACAAACCTCTAAAAAAGATGGCACAAAACCCCATGACAATAATCTCTCTCAATGGTTTAAATGCACTAATTAAGAGACACAGAGAGGCAAAATGAATTAAAAAACCAAACCCAACATTCTGCTGCCTACAAGAAACACATTTGAAGTCAGAGCAAACAAAGACACAAAGCCAAAGGATGGAAAACAACCCTTCAAGCAAACAACTTCCTCAAAAAAGTTGGGATGGCAATACTAGTACCTTACAACATAGATTTCAGGCTGAAATAGATTAGAAGGGACAACAAATGCCATTTTTCATCAAGAGAATATGTACAGCAGGAAGAAATCACACTTCTAAACATATACGCACCCAATGAGGGTCCAGCTAAATACTTAAAATAACTGCTAATAGATTTCAAGGAAGACATTTGATAAGGCAGTGTTGAAGTCTCCAACTACTAAATCCAATAGTAGTTGGAGACTTCAACACTGCCTTATCACCTCTGGATAGATTAGCAAGATTAAGACTCAGCAAGGAAGTACTGGCTTTGAAGAAAAAAACAGAAGAAAGAGGGGTAGTAGCTGTATACATGGCCTTCCATCCCCCAAAAACCGAATACACATTCTTTTCCAGTGCACACAGAACATTTTCCAAAATAGATCACGTGCTGGGTCACAAAACATACCTCAACAGAATCAGGAAGATAGAAATTCTATCAACTATCTTTTCAAACCATGATGCACTGCACATAGAAGTTAATTACACACAGACGGAGAATCAAATCAAACACCTGGAAATTAAACAACTCAATGTTGAACAACAAGTGGGTCAGGGAGGAAATTAAGGAAGAGATCAAAAGATATCTGGAAACAAATGAGAATGAAGACACAAACTACCAGAACCTGTGGAATATGTAAAGGGGAAAATTTATAGCTCTGCAAGCATTTTTCAGGAAGGAAGAAAGGGCACACATAAATAACTTGACTTCACAGTTCAAGATCTTAGAAAAGGACCAACAAAAGGAGCCCAAACTAGGAAAAAGGAAAGAAATAATAAAACTTGGAGCAGAAATTAATGACATGGAAAACCAAAAAACAATCCAAAAGATCAATGAAACCAAGAGCTTTTTTTTTGAGAAAATAAACAAGATTGATAAATCACTAGCAAGACTCACAAAGAAAGAGAGAGAAAGAACCTAATAAGCAGAATCAGAAATGAAAAGGGGGACATCACAACAGAAACCAAAGAAATTCAAAAGATCATCAGAGATTACTTTGAAAGTCTGTATGCCATGGAACAAGAGAATCTAGAAGTAATGGATAAATTCCTGGATTCCTATAACCTCCCTAGGCTGAACCAAGAAGATTTGAAATACCTGAATTACTATCAAGGAAAGTGAAAGTGTAATCAAAAGTCTTCCCCAAAACTAAAGCCCAGGTCCAGATGGATTCACTAGTGAATTCTTCCAAACATTTAAAGAGATCTTACTGCCAGTTCTTTTCAAGCTTTTCCAGGAAATTGTAAAAACAGAAACACTCCTAAACAGTTTCTATGAGACACATATCAGCCTAATACCAAAAGCAAACAGAGACACCACAAAAAAATAAAACTACAGGCCGATATCCCCAATGAACATGAATTTGAAGATCCTCAACAAAATATTAGCAAACAGAACAACTCATTAAAAAGATCATACACCACAACCACGTGGGATTCATCCCGGGGATGCAAGGAGGTTTAACATTCGGAAGTCAATCAACATAATTCATATCAATAAAAGAAAAGATAAAAACCATATGATCATATCAATAGATGCAGAGAAAAATTTGACAAGATCCAGCACCCGTTTATGATGAAAACTCTGACCAATATGGGTACTGAAGGAACTTTCCTCAATACAGTCAAAGTCATCTACCACAAGCCTATGTCAAGCATTATCCTCAATGGGGAAAACACTAAGAGCCTTCCCTCTAAGATCAGGGACGAGACAAGGATGCCCACTCTCACCTCTTCTATTCAATATAGTAATGGAAGTACTTTCAATAGTGGTTAGGCAAGAAAAAGAAATTAAGGGAATCCAGATGAGAAAGGAAAAAATCAAGCTCTCACTATTTGCAGATGATATGATATTATATTTAGAGAACCTTAAAGCCTTTACCTTTACCAAGAAGCTCCTACAATAGACTTGTATAGTAAAGTTGCCGGCTATAAAACGAATACCCAAAAGTCCATGGCTTTCCTACACGCAAATAATGAGAAAGAAGAAACTGATATGAAAAAAGCAGTCCCTTTCACAATTATGCCTCAGAAAATCAAATACCTTGGAATCAGCTTAACTAAGAAGGCAAAAGGCCTGTACAAAGAAAACTACAAAACTCCACTTCAAGAAACAAAAGAGGACACGAGGAAATGGAAACACATCCCCTGCTCATGGATTGGGATAATTAACATTGTCAAAATGGCAATATTCCCCAAAGCATGATACAGATTCAATGCTATCCCTATAAAGATACCCATGACATTCTTCAAAAAAATTGATCAAACACTCCTGACATTCATATGGAACAACAAACCCCCCATGGATAGTCAAAGTAATTCCTGGGGGAAAAAAGATGGGAGGCATCACCTTCCCCAACCTCAAACACAACTACAAAGTGGTAATAATTAAAACAGCATGGTATTGGAACAAAGACAGAGCCACAGACCAATAGAACAGGGTTGAATTAACTTACACACACCCTCAAATATATGATCATCTATATTGATAAGGTAGCAAGAAATGTGAAGTGGAGCAAGAAAAGCCTCATCACCAAATATTGCTGGCAAAAATGGACAGCTATATGCAAAAACTGGGCTCAGATCTCTACCTAACACCATGCACAATAGTCAGATCAAAATGGATTAAAGACTTCAACATCAGACCGGAATCCATAAGGTACATTGAAGAAAAGGCTGGCAAAATCCTCCACGAAACTGAAGCTAAAGGTATCTTCAAAGATGAAATGCCACTGACCAAGCAAGTGGAAACAGAGATAAACAAATGGAACTATCTTAAACTAATAAGCTTCTTCTGTACATCAAAAGAACAGTGACCAGAATAAAAAGACAGTCTACAGAATGGGAAAGGATATTCACCCAATATCCATTTCATAAGAGGTTAATATTAAGGATACATTAAGTACTGGTTGAACTCTACAATAAGAAAACATCCAATCCCATTAGAAAATGGGGCAATGAAATGAACAGAAACTTTCTCAAAGAAGAAATCTGAATGGCCAAAAGGCACATGGAAAAATGCTCTTCATCACTAATCATCAGGGAGATGTAGATCAAAACAACAATGAGATATCATCTCACACCACAGATACTGGCACACATCCAAAAGAATAAAAGCAACCAGTATTGGTGTAGATGTGGGGAGAAGGGGACTCTCCTACACTGATGGTGGGAATGCCAACTGGTTTAGCCCTTTTGGAAAACAATATGGATTTTTCTCAAAAAATTAGAAATTGAGCTCCCATTTGACCCAGCCCATATGCCACTTATAGAAATATGTCCCGTAGTTGTAAAAAACTACAGTAGAAATGATATCTGCACTTGTATGTTTATTACAGCACTATTTACAATAGCCAGAATCTGGAAAAAGCCTGAGTGCCTGAGAAAAGATGACTGGCTAAAGAAACTTTGGTACATCTACACAATGGAATACTATGCAGCTGTTAGAAAAGATGAAGTCATAAAATTTGCATATAAGTGGACTGACATGGAGAGTATCATGCTAAGTGAAATGAGTCAGAGAGAGAAGGACAGACATAGAATGATTACACTCATTGGTGGAATATAAAGTAACATAATGGGAGACTAATACCTAGGGTTAGTAGAGATAAGGGCCAGGAGGATACCTCCATTGCTTGGAAGACAGCCTCACATGCTGGAGGAAAAGGCAGCTGAGATAGAGAAGGGACCACCAAGTAAATGATGCTTGGAGGGTTCGCTCAGGATGGGAGATGTGTCCTGAAAGTAGACTATGGACCGAACATGATGACCACTTAGTACCTGTATTGCAAACCATAACATCCGAAAGGAGAGAGAGTAAAAGGGAATGTGCCTGCCACAGAGGGGATTGCGGGGGTGGGGGGGTGGAGGAATACTGGGATCACTGGTGGTGGAAAATGGGCACTGGCAGAGGGATGGGTACTCAATCACTGTATGACTGAAACATAATCACTAAAGTTTGTAACTGTACCTTATGGTGATTCATTCAAAATAAGAAAAAGAACACAAAAAAGCATATTTTCACATAACTCATTTAAAAAATTGCACTGCAACAGGGTATAAACAACCTAAAATTAATGAATAGTTTATTTCTCTGTAAAAATTTAAGAAAGATAAGAAGAGGCCATTAAAATGACAAAAATTTAAAAAACCATGAATAGAAAAAAAGAAACAAGATATTATATAGCTCCAATTATATCAAATATTTTGTGGTGACTTTTTTTTTTCATTTCGATTTCTGGGCCGCATTGGTCTATTACTTCTGACTCTTCACTCAAGGATCACTCTTAATAGGGCTGGCAGTTGGGGGGTAACCATATAGGGTGTCAGGGATGGGAACTAGGTCAGACACATGTAAGACAAAGTAGTTCTACCCCTTATACTATCTCTCCAGCCTCTGTGGCTACTTTCAGTTATCAGTCTTTGATCTACCATTTGTGAAATAAGCAAAAGCTCCAAGAGATCTCAGTTGGAAAAGTAAACTAAAGTCTTTTATGTAATAAGTGTTAAATGCCTAACAGGAGAGAACAAACTAAATATGGGTAAAACTAAGAAAAGATACGAGAATACAGGAGAGAAACAGTAGGGAAAGTATTTCAAGTTAAGAGAATAAACTATGCCAAAAAGGCATAAAATCTATAAATACTAAGTAAATTATTTTGAGAAAGACACTTTACTATAACTCTGGTAGATTTCTTTCATTATCATTCTAGCTCATAATTTACAACAACTAGTATTTAGTTACTTTTTTGGTAACCACCCACTCTACCCCATACCTGCCAGGAGTTTATTCCTGAGCTTGGAGAAAGGGGTGAACTCTGAGCAACACTGGGCATGGTCCCCCCCCCCCCAAAATAAAACAAACACAAAAGATCACGATAAGAATATAAAAGAATATTTGCTTGTCTTTATTTTGGTGTTATGCCCAGAGATGCTCAGGGCTTATTCCTGGCTCTGAGCTTAGGGATCACTCCTGGTGAGCTTGGAAGACTATTTGTGGTGTTGGAGTTCAAACCCAGGTCAGCAAGTGCAGGGCATGTACCCTACCCACTGTACTATTGCTCTGGTCCCTACCAGATTAACTTTTATGTATGTAGAGAACTTCGAGTCAAGATAATCAGGAGAAATCATATATAACCCTTTCCCAAAAGCCATTCTCTGCTTGATTATCTACGAAGAACCTTGTGTTCTCTCTTAAACATGTATCTCTCTCTCTCTTTCTCTCCCCTCACATATCTCTAAGTAAATGTCTTCAAATAAAACTATTTTGCTCCACTGAAAAAAAGTTAAGGGCAAATTTTTATTAAGTTGCTGAATTATATTCAAACATATAAACTTACTCTTTGTTCCTTTTCCTTCTCTTCTTCCATTGTCTGAAATGCAAGAACATGTGCTTCTTTTAAAGATTTATGTCTCTGCTGATGCTGTTCCTCTAATTCTTCAAGTTCTTGTGTAAGTCGTTGTCGTTCTTGTGTAAACTGAGCTTGCAACTGCTGAAGAGAAGTCTGAGACTGGGAAAGCTGTAGGTCCAGATTCTGCTTCAGCAGGGAAATCTGTCACAGAATGGTACACAATCAAGAATAAAGATAAGGTGAAGGAGAAAACACTTCAAAAACACTAAATGTAGTAAAAGAATTGCCTAAAAAGGAGTGTCAATGTAAAATGTTTTATTAGAGATCATAAATATCTAATTCTTAGATATTAAAATTTTTAAATGATTTTAATAATTATAGTAAAAAAATGGTTTTGGTAATTAAGCTGGTAGATGAAGAATACTGAAGCCCACATTTAGAAACACAATGAATGTCTAAACTGCAATAAAAACCTAAACTATGAAGTGAAAGCAGAAGACAACTAATGTATTTATTGAGTCACAGTCACTTTTAAAGGAGGCTGTACAAAAAGCTAAACTGCTTATTTGCAAGGCAGTAATATTTTAAGTGAATGTAAATTTTATGTGAATTAATGTAAATTTTAAGTGAATTTTTACAAAAAAACAGGAGCAGTTACTTTTGAATGAAAGGCAGGTCCAGGCTGCCTCACATGTCTCACAATGAGAGATACTTGGGGAAAAAAAGAGAAAGGGTGGAGGATCACCAGTAATACAAAATAAGAAAGAGAAATGAGAACAGAAAAGGTCAGACAAGCACTATATCTGGAAAACACCAGGACAGAGTGATGCACAGCACTGACTGTAAGGGGAGGACTAGTAGGGTGGGAGTTTTGAGTTATAAAGAAGGATTAGTTGTAACAGTTTGTACATACTTTTATGGAGATAGTCAAGCTCTGCTGAGCAATGATACAACAGAACACGGACGTTATGTCTATTTTAATGGATTTATAAAGGTGTGGCCCTACTTATTAAAAGCTACATGAAAATCTAGCAAATTTTGACACAAAAAAACTTCAGAGGTTATTTTATGTCGCGGTTATTTTATGTCTCGGCTAAAGTAGAACTGCAAAAACCTCACTCCAGGCAACTGCAACTTCCCAATTTCACCTCTGAATTTCATTGTCTAAGCACCACCCACAACTTACAGAATGAAACCGTGAAGTGTGAAATTGCAGGAGAATATCATAGCAATGGCTAAGGTCATACTTCTCAAGCATAAGATCCAAGAAAAATCATACCATGACACTACTTACCACTTTATGTGGAGAAAATCAGGGTGAAATAAATTAATATTCAGAAAAACACAGAAAGAAAAAGAATCCTAAAAAATCAAAGGCAACATGAATGTGTTCATGAATACTGATATCAACAGATAAGCCATTGTCTTTTCAGCTGGCTGGTTTTTGAAGCAGAGCAGACACCACCCACTGTCTTCTCATACTGGATGCTAGACCCAGTCTCAGAATGAGAATACATGGTGATTGCTGTTGGGTAACATTGCTTTGTCCTTCAAGAAGCTTAGGTTTATCTGGTTACACCCATCACGGTGCTCCTGAAGCACTTCCACTTCCATTGTGTTTATCTGTAAACAATCTTCCCTATGCTCTCCTTCCCACCCAGTTAATCAGCTTTCCCCTTAATCAGACTTCGTTAATTTATAAGATCAGTTTCCCAGAAATCTATGATTTTATATATATGAGTGAAATATTGCCTTTCTCCTCTCCCTATGCCTTATGAATAGTTTACCTTAAAGTAATATCCTTTTTGTATAGATAAAGGAAGACCGTTAACATTATGCTTTGTAACTTAGGATTTGATTGGCCTTGAATATTGTTCACTCCCGGGCATCTTTCTCGACTTAAGCCTCAGTTGCCCTTAGTTCCTAACACCCCAAAATCAGGGTCCCGACGAGGGACTGAATGGACCCAGGGCAAGCAGTGAGCTACCCTGGCAGCGAAATGGGCCAGGCCAAAGTGCCACGATTCTTAACTATAAGTTAAGAGTTTGATCATGGACAAATGCTGTCATGATCCAAAGGTAACGACAAGACTAGGATCCTGCTAGGGGTGGGAAAGACTATCTGGCCTGAGCACCGTAGTCTGAGATCGAGATGGCCCTAGGAGAGCAATTCTATAAGTTTGAGATATTTCTTACTGTAGCCATACAAAATGATTTATATTATATTCTTGTATGCTTGTCGGACAAGGAGAGGAGAGGCACGCCCATGGGATTCTGCTCTAGGGTGGGTCCTCCTGCTGAGGAAGGATCTGTCCTAGGAGCGGTCTTCCCTGAGGCTAAGATTTCTACCCCTGTTCATCTCCACCCCTATTGATTGTGACCGCACCTATGTGTATTTGTTCCCCCAATTCCTCATGGAGAGAGGATTTAACTGTACTGTAGGAGTGAGATGGGGGCAGAAGGAAGAAGAGAGTTCAGAGAGGATCAGAACCCAGACTCTAGAGAAGGAGGATGAAGGGGAATGGAGAAGGAGAATGAAGTAGCTGGGGGAGGAAGAATGGGGGCAGAGACAGAAGGAGAGATGAGGAGAGGATCAGAATAAACTACGACTAATACCTACCAGCCTGGCCCTTGTTCCTTCCTCCGCCTAACCATCGCCATCGACCTCTCCGGGGTGGTAGAAGGGTGAGACTACCGAACGCGGGTGGCGGGAGAGATAGAGCCGCCGCTGAGTTGGGTGCCGAGCCCCCTCTTGTGTGAGTTTACACAGATTGCCTCTGGTTTTAACTTGCTAGAGGGGCTGGAATGACAGCACAGCAGGTAGGGCATTGCAGCCAACCAGGTTCAATCCCTGGTATCCCATATGGTTCATAGAGTACCGCCATTTTGTAATAATTATTGAGTATCTCTGGGTGAGAACCACCCTCTTCCTGCCCACCACCCCCCGCCGCAAAAAAAAAAAAATAACCTTGCCAGGAAATAAAGGACACATGGGGAAAAAGACTGTGTGCCATGTGTAATGTAAATAGTTGATACTTGGTCAAGAGGGTACTCGAATCTACCCAACATTCATTCTACTCATCAAACTGCCTATGGCTATCCAAAGAGGAAAAGCATGTTCTGTCCAAATGCACAAATCTCCCCTAGGGGCTGCAGTGGCCTGTGTCCACCTTGAGTGAAATGTGCATTTGGGTATTAAGAAGCCAATAAGTTCACAGCAGTATGTGTTATTTTCCTTAATACCTACTTCCATTTGACTCATACTCGAACTTTTTTTTTTTTTGCTTTTTGGGTCACACCAGGCGATGCTCAGGGGTTACTCCTGGCTCATGCACTCAGGAATTACTCCTGGCGGTGCTTGGGGGACCATATGGGATGATGGGAATCGAACCTGGGTTGGCCATGTTGGCTGCATGCAAGGCCATGTTGGCTGCACGCCCTACCTGCTGTGCTATCGCTCCAGCCCCCATACTCGAACTTTTTAAGGATTAAACTCAGGAGAAAAAGTTGCAACTGAAAAGAATTAAATAGCACAGAAATATAGAAGTTCTACATAAAAAAAAAATTGAAGCCACTGCAGAATACCCTAATATTTTTATCATAATATATTTTACCGTGAAGAAATTCCAAATTAGCATGTTGCTTTTTGGAATACTTAATCTTTATATGTATGCAAAAATATAAAATATATTTGGAAAGATATGAACATTGTAATATTGTACATTGAGTTTATATGTTTTGTATTCTTAACTATGAAAACATACCAAAATAAAATTAAAGTTACCTAAGATCATCGGATTCATGCTCAAGGCTATATGCATACAGAAAGTATCTTTTCCCAATATATAATGCAGTAAAAATTATTTCATTTTTATATAAATAATTTATTTACTATTTTTGGCATATTGAATATGCCACAGATAGCTTACCAGGCTCTGCCATGTGAGCGGGATACTCTCGGTAGCTTGCCAGGCTCCCCGAGAAGAATAGAGACTTTTAGGGTGGCCTCTAACCGCCCTTGCAGGTGTTCCCATGATTCAAACCATATTTGACCCCATCAAATATGGTGCAGTAATCTTGGAAAATAGGTATTAAGTGTCTTATGTCATAAGTAGCCTGGAGTGTGGTGGTGGCTGGGTAGTGGAGGTAGTGTAGGTCTGCCAATGAGATATTTATCTGGTACCAGTAGGATGGGGCTTCTGGGTGTGATCCCTGGGTTGCCGGAGATTGGTGGAAGCAAGCAGGACAGGGTAGGGTGGGGCTTCTGGGTTTAATTCCTGGGTCGCTGGAGATTGGTGGGAGCAGGCAGAGGATCTCTGTTCCCGGGTCTCATTGAGCCTGAAGTCCAAAGTCACAGAGTTCTGCGGCGCTTGAATACGCCAAAAACAGTAAATACAATGGGTCTCATTCCCCTGACCCTGAAAGAGCCACCAGTATGGCAGCGTTAAGAAGGATGAGGAAGGATAGGCTGATAAAATGCCAAGGCTGAACTAGGCTGCCAAAACAAAGAAAGATTACATGACTGTCTGTACTTTCAACGCACGTGCACTGGCATCAATGCATCCTTTGAGGACTTGATAGCGCAAGTGTGAAAGATAAAGTACTGCATCATTGGTCTGACCAGGACGAGAAGGCATCAAACACATCACACCACTTCGACACTGGAGAAGAACTATTCCACAGAACAAGTGAAAAAAGAGGCGTCGGTAGTGTCGGTGTCCTTGTTGTCAACACAAACTTTGCCATGAGTACAGATTCAATCGAATGCCAAATAACTGGAATTGGACGATTACACTTGAATAGAGGTGGCTCACTGCTGGCAGTTTCTATCTTCGTTGTCTACACACCAACATCCAATTATTATGAAGAAGAAATTGAGAAGTTCTACATGGAGCTGGAGAAGTTCTATAAAGAAGACCACACCTTCTACAAGATCATTGTCGGTGATTTTAATGCCAAGACATGACAGAGAAGATCAGCCGAAGAACTCCACATAGGGACCCATGGCCTAGAATGGAATGAACACGGTCAGAGACTGCGTTCATCATGTCGACCAAGACCATCTATGGCAACTCACAGTTCCAGAAGGCTGAATCTAAACGTTGGACATGGGAGTATCCCAGTGGACGATTCCACAACGAAATAGACCACATCATATTCAATGGACAGTTTTGCCTGACTGATGTTGGTGTTGTCCCAAAA